CGGACGCCACGGCCCGAGAGCAGCTTCATGTCGACGTTCAAAAGCGGTCTTTGAATTTGACAATACCGGTGGCATGGGGAGGATATACCCAACAGTCTGTGGAAGTTCCCGTGACGACGAAGGAATCCACGCTACATGGGCAACAAAAAATGAATTTAAGTCATCCCGTAAAAGAGGGTGGGTATCAAGTGTCCCAAGTGGAAGCGGTGGCGACGATGCGGGAGACCATGTCCAACAACACGTACCATCAGGCGCCGCGGGCAGAAATATCCAGTGGTGGGTATCAGAAAGTTCAAATCGAAGCACCGATGGTGGATAGAGTGGTGGTGGAAAATCATCATGGATCGGCCAAATCCACGGTTCCCGTCAGCGAGCGGGATTCGACCAAAACGTACGAAACTCGGGAAGAATTGCACTCGGAGTATCGCGTTCAACCGGGGTTGAGCCATACTTATCAGGAGCGACCTGCGGATGTTTCGTATACCACACGCGAACCTGGGCGACAGGAACTGGACCGTATGGATGCGAATCGCAGCATTCCAGTGCCGGCGTCGAATCGGGATTGCTCCACAGAATATCAGTTGCGGGAAGAAGCTCGACCGGTGATGCGAGAAGGTTATGTCATTCCCAATGAACTAAGACCAGTGTAAGAAAGGTGGGCAAAGTATATGACGATTTTCTGGACCGCGGCTTCGTCCATGTGCATGCTCTTCACTTTGCCAATGCTCTTCACTTGCCAAGTTGTAGTGTTGAAAGGAAAGGATCTAAAACATGCCACGCGAACTTGTTGGTGTTGATGCTCTGGATACCGCTGTACATCAGAGTCTAGTGATCAGTTGCTTCGTATTGCTAAGTCCATTCTGTCATTGGAGAGCTATACCATTGGTAATGTTTTGGCCGCTCGCGATCCCTGTTCTCGCTGTGTCAGCAACCATAGAAATAGTCTACCTCCCTTATCACTGGGTTCGGTGGAAGAAGATAATAGAAGCAGACAAAAAGCAGGTGGAGACCGAAAGGATGCCGAATGAAAGAGATAACGAATTTCATGCACAAGCTTTACGCATCACTTGCGAACGCTGCGGGTTTCGAGATCTGGCTGAACGACTTCATCAGTTGAGCAATGGAACTTTTCGTTGCCCGGATTGCTGAAGGTGACATGTTGACACGCGGGATATACTATTACAATTTCAAAGACGCGGCATTGTTTCTTAATCGTATTTATCCTTGAGACCTTTGCAATAGGTCACCTCCGTGATCCTGGCGGGTGCGAGTTGACCAGTGTTCATTCTCACGACGGCAAAACAGCCAGGATAGCGTCTTGATGCCTTGCGAGCAATGTCGTAGGCTTCAGACCTGGTCATGCAGACGGCTAGAACGTCTGCAGGACCTCGAGGATCCAGAAACGTGTAATAAGTTTCGACCGTCCATATGAACTAATGCAAACGATGATGAAACAAACACAACATCCATCGGTAAAGGAAAGCTTACAGACATATCGTCAACGTCGTCAACGTCCGTGCAACCTTTGTGTGAAAAAGACAGTACGGGCATTTGTCCATCAAAAAAATAGAATTATCATCCCGCGGGACCAAAGGAACCAAAAGGAATTGTGGGATACCGCGGGACGCACCATGCAATACGGTGAAGATGATCCAACAATCATCACCATCATGGACATCATGCGAGACTGGACAGAGTTAGTGTATAAAGGGCACACACACTTCGGATTGGAACAAGACGAACCGGGTCGACTGGTGGAGATAGCCTATCGATACCTCCCGGTCATTGAAAGATTTCACACGGCCCTCAAGGGGAAGATCGACAACATCGAGCAAAGGCTGGCAATCGCCTTTCTAGGTGGCATAACCTTTGAATGCGAATGGGGTCGACGTCGCGACCGACCCATAGACTGGCAATGTATCGACTGTCTACAAACGTGTCTCGGGACTCCACCGCTTGAAGACGATCCCAGACAGTATATCGAGACCGAGGACGCCTGGGTATATTCGGAACGCGATCTGATCAAGGCGTTGCGTTTCTGGTACCAAACTCTGAGACATAGAATCCATGGTCCCCATGCTTAATCCTTGTAAATAACGGGTGTATCTATACGAATGTCAGCTCGGTCTTGTCGGAACAGCTTTGAATTATCTGGGATGCGTCGTGTAAACTTGAGATTAAAGCAATGTTGATTGGCCGGATTGGCGATCCCACCAGTATCGTTGGGAAAGTCGAAGGCAGTGCCATCAGGATTTAGGAAAGAGATGGTTAATTTGTCCAAGCGTTTTCGCACAGGGCGTTCAAGGAATGGCTGTCTTTCGGCAATACGTTTGTCCACGTTCAAAAAGCCGCCGTTGGGGGCAAAGGGCGGCATTAGTTGCAACATTGCGAAGACCCGGTTTTCCCGCGGTGCGATGATAATGTGATTTAATTCGTTAATGGACAACAATACGTAAGGAAGAGTGAGAATGTTATTCACGTTGGGCAAGGTGCAACTGGTGAGTTCGACAGCTTCAATGTCGTAGATGGGGTCAAAAGTTATACTGTAACTGCCGGGACTGGGGTATTGGATGAGATCTCGATATCTCGAGTCGATGCAGAGATAGGTATAATCCTTGGTGTGGTTTAATACGGGATCGTCTTGGGGTGCGGGATCGGTGACACTGTTCTTGAACTTTGAATAATCAAATTGATCGCGCGACAACAGAGAGGGACCATAGACGTCTTGACGACTATCGGGATACAAGCCAGTGCGGGCGTCGCGCGATGAATACGGATAGTACTTTGTTTCCATTGAGTGCCTTGTAGATTGAAGGAGGTCAAAAAAAACGTGTCCCGCGTTTTTAATGTGTTTTTCAAGGTATATGGAATCCGTTTTCTTGTCGGCCGACAACGTCTTGCTTATTGAGAGGCTTCTCCGTCAGCAATTATACACGGTGACAGGCTTGGATGTGGGCAGTTACTTCCGATCGAACATTCCCATCTTCATGAAGTGGTGTTGGTTTCAGGAATTCCAATACCTCGACTATGCAAGCGTGCCACCGCGGGAGGCATTAATACGATTAAACGATCGTACGGTGAAGGAGATGTCACGACGGTTGTTGGAACGCATGCAATCGACCGAGATTCGACATCTGCAAGACCCGGAAGAATTGAGCACATCCTTGGAGGATTGTGAAAAGGCATTAAATGGCGACATTGGCCACACCGGTGTTTCAAACACCGGGAGTAGCGGGAGCTCCGACAGTTTGGCGCCCATTGAACTCCTGTGACTCCAGATCAGTCGGCGGGACAGGAGGGTGCAGTTGAGCAGTGGTTGTTTTATCGATGGCTGTTTCATTCGCTTGAATTGCTTTGATCAACCAACTCAAAATACCATGGACAATCCCATTGGCATCGGTGATTCCCAAGAATGGAAGCAGTTCCGAGACACCGAGCAAGATACTAACAGTCGCGACAGCTATTTGGTCCGCACTCATTTCTTTACAATGCAAACGTAAGTAAATACACAGTGCGTTCAATGGAAGTGGGGTTTTATGTGGTCTTGGGCATCATCCTGGTGAGCCTGGTTTGGATGATGAGCAGACAGCTGAGTCGGCGCAATGATTTGCCACCGTCGTATGAGGAAGCCATCCGCGAACCTCCTGGATATCGTGTATAACTCGCTCACACATCTATTAGTCGGAATAAATTACAGACATGCCCAGCACATCGCCCAGCACACCGCCCAGCACACCTCAGGTGGATTCAGTCTTGCAACGAGCTGATTCTTGATGGCGTTTCAAATCACACTGATCACGGAAACTACCATGGCCACATCGCTCACAAGAGAATTTCTTGTTATGACAACGAGCATGGCGCTAACGGAGGGACCATGGATCAAAAGAACACCCAGGGAACACAAAGAGGATGATACAAAAAGCCATGAAAGGCCACACCTTCATAGCCATCTTGTCCTGAAAGGTCTTGTCGCAACCCTCCTGATCACACGGGACGTCGCCGGTTTCACCGTCGGAATCCACCACCTTTCGTTTACGCATCGGAGGGACCGGAGCCACAGGAGGAGAAGCATCCAAAGCTCGGAGGGCAGCCACGAGGTTGTCGATGGTGATGTTGACCCGTTGTTTGTAGGCATCAAAATCGTGGTAGACGGAAGCCTCTCTCAGTGGAATGAGTTGAGTTTGGATCATGGAGATCAGGAATGCCAGTTGATCAGGATCGAAATCGGGAGTCATTGTTGATGTTTGTTGGAGTGAGGAGATGGTTTGTGGGTAGACTGAGGGCCAAGCCAGAAAATGCATTTAATGGCTTGGCCCGCAAAACATGGGAAAAAAGGGATTAGGTGATGATGTCAGCAGTCACATGTCAATAGGACACACACGTCCATATGGTTCATACCGTTCACATTGGTTCACACCGTTCACACCCGCTTCATAAATCCCGCTTCATAAATCAATTTAAGGGTTTCCGCGGACTGCGTCATGACCACGGGTCCATCGACATACCAAGTCAAGCCAAGAATGATCTGTTCATCGGGACAACCGAAAAGACTGAGGAAGAAATGCGAACATGGGCGCCAGAGATACCACTGTCGAGAATGCGGTGGCCAAGGAATTTGTCAGCACGGCACCCAAAAATACTGCTGCCGACTCTGTGGTGGAAATGCGTTTTGCAACCACGGAAGACGCAAAGTCAAGTGTCGGGAGTGTGGAGGCAAAGCTATTTGCGAACATGGACGGCAAAAATACTTATGCCGGGAGTGTGGTGGAATATCCATCTGCGAGCACGGAAGGCGACGATCTCGATGCACCCAATGCCAAGGTGTCAGTGTTTGCCCCCATGATCACGTGAAACAGAATTGTGCCCACTGTTCGACTCTGAAGTGCGAAGAATGCGGCCTCATGGTGGTTAAAAGTAAGAACTCCCAAGGCAAACGCCTCTGCGCAAGCTGCAATCCAGAATCGGCCACGCGGTCCGTATACGATCGGAACCGCCCTGAAATGAAAATGGCCGCGGCATTGTCCAACCATTTTGATCTGGTCTATTCCGTCGGGACCTATGCGCCTTTTTCCACTTGTGGAGACACCAAAAGACCCGACGTGATCGTTCGCAGCGGGACCACCATGATTTTTGTCGAATGCGATGAACATTCTCATCACGATTACAACACGACTTGCGAGTGGGCTAAACTGCTCAATCATATGCAAAGCGGACTTGCCACCGAGGGAATCACTTCTGTTGGATTCATCCGATTCAACCCAGATGCCTGGAAAGTCCGAGGCGAGACCGTTAGAACCAAGTGGCAAACTCGAATGGACGTTTTGGTGAGTCACATTCAAGAACTTTTGCTGGGAAGCAACTGGTCAGTTTCCTATCTGTACTACCCGACGGAATCAGAGAATCCCATTGAACGGATTCCATCAAAAGTCGTGCAACAATGGCTCACAACCTTGTCCGCGGCCAAATTAAATGACATTACGCCACCCGCGGCATAACGCGCGTGGTTGAAATTTAACTTGGTTGATACTTAATGGAACTTCAGGATCTTGTTCGTGCTTATGTTTTTACAGTGATGATGTCGTGTGCATGGTTTCTGTATGATACGCGACGGCCTTTATCTTTCCAACAGGATGAAGCTCAAGAACAAAATCCAGACGACCAATGGGACTAAGACGTAATAAATGTAATTATTGCGAGCCGCGGTCGTATCGGATGCCCTTGTATTCACTACATATACGATGCCGGCTTGCAGAAAGAATAGAATCACCATGAACACCAGTATCCAGCGGTATCGGCACAGTGTCGAAACTTTACAGTCAATGTACGCCCATTCGGGGAGTGGATGGAAACGGGCCTTGAACGCAGGGGCCAGTTGTCGACGCACCCCAACCAACTCCTCGACAGTCGCGACGGGAGTCACATAATCAAGCCTATAGGTACTCATCGTTTTATTACTTTAAACCATGAGAGAATAACTTTTAGCACCCTGACCTCACCAAAGACTCTCTCAAACAATCGGTCCTCGTTGTACGTCTGCACGCAATGACGATGCGACACCATCGTCTGCTTGTGTATGGCTCGAATGACACCCATAAAGATGCGGAATTCTTTCCGCGGACAGGCCAGGAAGCGGGATTCGGTCCACTCGAAAATCGATTTAGCTAACTCCGCGGAATACGGGTCGTGCCACAATTGCTGTTTCAGCTCGAAATAAAACTCCTTGTCCAGTCGAGCTCCCAGGACCAGTTGCTCGTTTACGGTCAAATCAAAGAAATCGACAACGACACCAGGTTCCTTTTCCACCGACATTGTCACCTCGCCGGCACGATTGACTCGTTGCACGTGGACTCGGGTGACAATATTGCTCATTTCTTCTGGATTGCCAAGACGATTGATCCCACGGCTGCTACCGATCCAGTAATACAGAGTAGGAAGAAGACGTTCGACCAAAAAGGTGAGGCTATGCTACCATTCGAGTTGTGATCCGTTCCGGCGGCTACCGCGGAACTGAGCCCGCAACAAATAATCACTATTATTAACGCAATCACAGACTTCGGCAACATTTACCTCTCTACGGGCCAAAAAAAATGGATTATTATTTCCGGGTCGCCCGTCAACAGGATTGGTCCGTTTCAGTGGATCGACTTCATGGTCTACTACAAGCACCGCCTCCAGAACAACCACCATCATCGTGCAACTCTGACACCGATGATGATGATTCGGATGATTCCGACTCAAACTCTGACTCCGACGACCCAGTCCGTCCCGCGGTCTCAAGTAATCGATTATTGCCTCCCGCACCCATCCCGGACCCTTTTCGACTACCCAAAGGCAAAAAGGGACACAATGTGCGGACCAAGAAAATGGCGGACAACATGTCATGGATTCGACTCGTCGAGGATCCGGAAATTGCCGCTGCCGCCGCGGTTCTTAAGAATACCGAGTGGGATCCCGAAACCGCTTTTGAACTCAATTCAAAAGTCGTCCCGAGCGGCGTCCATGTCCTGGCCGCAACCTATGCTTTGTGCCAAGCCTATTTGGACAACAATGAGCAACCCCAGTCCTTGTCGGCTCGAGATATGCTGCACATCCTCGAAAGGGACAAGTATGATATCGCCCGCTTCAAGAAGTCCGAAGGACAATTTAAATTGGTTCAACCCGAGAAATCCATCTTCCTGGAATGGTCGCGTAAAAGACACAACCCGGTCATCCTGGTGGTTACCGACAACGCCTTTCATAAATCACTTGACAACTTTAGTCGGGAGAGCACGGGGTATTTTATCAAGCAACCCAAAGTCAAAGGCCTTCGGGGAAGCCAGACCATGTATAAGTTAAAGCATTCACCCCATTTGTATCTTCGAGTGTAAAGCCTCTAGTTTGGCGTCCAGTTCCTGTATCGCCTTCAAAGCTATGCTTATAAGACAATTATAATGAATGGAATAGTGTTCTCCCTCTTTCGCGGGATCTTCATGAGGTTTGGAAACGATCTCGGGACACACGTCCTTGATTTCCTGTGCAATCAGTCCAAACCGCGTTCGTTGTTGGTGGTCGTTGTGATAGATGAAAGCACGTGGACGCATTCGCCGCACATGCTCCAAACCATAGTTCAAATCTCGAATACTGTGTTTCAATCGTGCATCGGAAGGATAATTCACACCACCGCCGTAAAGATTCACTTGGTAGCTACACAACGTTCCTAATGGAGTGCTTCCAGATCCAATGATGTAGGTGGCTCCTAAATTGAAGGACTGAATGGTCGTTCCGCTTCCCGCGGAAAACGTGATGGATCCTGAATTGTAATAGTTGATGGAAAACAACGAACCTGACGACGCGTAAATGTTGCCTGCGCTGTATATATTACTCCATCCTGAACTCGCTGTTCCTAAGGTATAGGTATTGTTTGCGTATGGCACAATGTTGGTATTGGCGAACAATCCACCATTAGCGTTTAGATAGGTATGAGTGGCCCCATCGACTCCAATGTACCAATAACTCCCATTGATGGAAGCACATTGCACTTGACCATTGACCGTAATGGAGCCCGTGGAAGTCATGTTCGTCACCGATAAATTAGATATTCCAGAGACCGCGGTCGCATACAACCCAGCCGTGGTGATGCTCGTCACCGATAAATTAGATATTCCAGAGACCGCGGTTGCATACAATCCAGCAGTGGTGATGCTCGTCACCGATAAATTGGATATTCCAGAGACCGCGGTCGCATACAATCCAGCAGTGGTGATGTTCGTTGCAAAAAGTCCAGTCGTGGTTACACCCGCGGTCGCATACAATCCAGCAGTGGTGATGTTCGTCACCGATAAATTAGATATTCCAGAGACCGCGGTCGCATACAATCCAGCAGTGGTGATGCTCGCCACCGATAAATTAGATATTCCAGAAACCGCGGTCGCATACAATCCAGCAGTGGTGATGTTCGTCACCGATAAATTAGATATCCCAGAGACCGCGG